ACACCCTCGTTCTCCGTCGCTCCGGCGCCGTTCTCGCTCGATCCTGCGTGCGCTCCCCCTCCGTTTCTCCCTGTCTTTCCCGCGGGTCTCTCTATCGCGGCGGAGAGCCGTGGCAACCGGTCCGCGCAGCAGCCCGCCGCCTCTCGCCGCCGTTATTAGACAAGCGGCAACATTTCTGGCGGACGCCGGGGACGTTCAGTCGCGACCGCGTACCCCGTCCGCGCTCGTCTCTCTCGTTCGACGCCGGCCCCGGGCCACTCGCCGCTGTTGCCCCTCGAAAAATCTCGACTCTCACCCTTTTTTTTGCCCTCCCCGTCCCCGCCGCATCCACGCACACACGCGAACGCCGCGATCTAATCCACCCTCTCCACGCGCCGAACCGCCGACGAGCATCGTCGACCGGAAAAACGTCGCTGAAGGATCACCTCCAGCACGAAGGCCGCCGCCGCGCGCACGGAGTCAACGCACACCTGGCGGCTAGCGAAGTAATGGTCACTACGCCGCCCCCCAGCGCCGAACGAGCGGGGAACATTGTTTGAATAGACTAAGGTGTGTACACGTTTCGTTAAATGTGCGTTCCTACGACTTCCGAGGGGTTGGGGACGGTTTTTGCCCGAGCGGGTGAGGTCGCCCGAGAATTCTACGCTGGATGAGTCCTTTCTTTTCACGCTTCTTCTGTTGCTTTTTATCCGCCTGTCGGGATGGTTTTAAGGGTTTCTTCTTCGGGTATTTTTGGGTCTACAGTTGGCTGATATTCGGAATCTTTACTGGGGTTTGCGGGATTTTCTTTGGGGAGTGTCGATTGAGTCTTTGGTTATTGTGTTTTCTGGTTTTGTGGTTGAGTAGCTAGTGTATGCAGTTTAGAGGGTTCTGCTTGGTTCGATATGATTTCTTTGAGTCATTATCGTTTGAGAAACGTATTTATCAGTGTGTGCAGGGGATGCAGGGAGTGTAGATATTTGTTTGTAGGATTTTCTTTGGGGAGTGTCGATTGAGTCTTTGATTATGGTGTTTTCAGGTTTTTGTGATTAAATAGGTAATGTATGCAGTTTAGAAGGTTCTGTTTAACTCGATGGGATTTCCTAGAGTCATCGCCTGAGGAACGTTTTTATGAGTGTGTGAGGGGATGCAGGAAGTGTAGATACTCGTTTATGGGATTTTCATTCGGAAGTGTCGAATGAGTCTTTCATTACCGTGTTTTCAGGTTTTTGTGGTTGAGTAGGTAGTATATATAGTTTAGAGGGTTCTGCTTGATTCGATGAGATTTCTTTGAGGCATTATCGTGTGAGGAACGTATTTAGGAGTGTGCAGGGGATGCAAAAAGTTTAGATATTCGTTTGGTTCGAGGCATTCAGGTTTCTTTAATTAAAGTTTCGTTGTGAATTAGATGTTTGTTATATGTATTCCACGGAATTTGTGTGTACCGGAATATTCAGATTAGTTTTGACACTTGCTCCGGTCTTCGTTCGAATTTCAGTGTTTGATTGCCAGTGACTGTCGTTGGAATATTTTGTTCGATATATCGTGGTGTGTATTAAGCTTCGGAAATGTGGTAGTAGAGTGGCAACGCTAGAGAATTCTTGGACAAAAGGAGAGCGCGGTCGCCTGATGAAAGACAATTGCGAAGAAGCGAATGACTTTCTTACTTCTAGATTTGTTGAGGGTGTACGTGGAGGATTATTGAGGGCTGACTAGAATATTGGATGAATAGAAACTGGTTTCTCGGGGAGGAAATGGAGGTCTTAGCTTGCTATTCGTCATTGTCGTCGAGATACTTTCTTTCATCCTATTTTTATGTATAAACACATATTTTATTACATATAAACACCTTGTGATCTATCTTGATGTATCTTGTGATCGGTAAACGGAACGAGATTGTTTATAATCAAATTTGGAAGATCAATTTTATGTTTCTGCAATTTCATATTGACTTGAACACGTTCTTAACATTAAAACTACCGGAGTTAGATTGACCCACTTCAGAATGTTTGTTTTACAAGTATTTAAATTACGAAGGCATTTTGCGTAAGACTTGTAATTAGTCCTTTGAGGTCGAGAGGCGACTCTCAGTCGCCGTTTGATTGGCAGCAAAATGATAAAATGGAAAATTCAATATAAAATGTTGAAGAAGGTATTAACACGTGGAACACAGAAATAAAGCAATTCTGATTCATAATTTATGCAAGATGTTTATTTGATACAGCAAACCTATGAATTATATTTAGTATTTTAAATTAAACTTTGCATCGCTATGTGGAATATTTAAATAAAATAGCTTTGTTCCTTAATTTATCTATGAATTAATTCACAGATATGAATATAATTCAATTAGATAGATATAAATATAATTAAATTAGTTTTAAACGATGTTGTCTATCTCATCGGAAAATGCTGAATATTTCCAGTGAAAACTTTCGAGTGCAAAGGATTAGTACCTCATTCAACATTTTATGTTGAATTTTTGATTTTATCATTTTGCTGCGTTCAATCAAATGGCGACTAACAGTCGCCACTCGAGTGCAAAAGGTTAACTTTGATGTGTAAGCTAGAAATCCGACATGCGGATTTAGTACAAACAATTTTGCAGTTGCTTTCATAAATAATTTCGTAACAAATAACTACAAATGCAACATCTATGCTTTACACCACGTGTCCTATATCAAACCAAGACCAAACTGTGATTCCTCTTGTGTGCAAGGGATTAATATTTCGTCAGCAAAAATAATGAATGTTTATAATGAAAAATATTATCGAATAAAAACGGTTAACTTCGTGTATTTGTACAGATACTAAGAAACTCCTCGAATCTCAAGAGACGTACTGTTCTAATTTTGATAAATAATTGGGAATAAGTCACTCCAGTTGCTCGGCAGATTTAGTGTTAAAGTCTAGTCGACGACTCTAAATCAAGAATCTTGTTCGAATGCACTGCAGCGTGTAACGAGGTCTTTAGATGTATTGTAGCAGAGCTCGAAAATTCTTTGCTAGAGAAGAAAGAGTATCCAGTGAAAGATCAAGTCTCAGAAAGTGGAATATTTCATTTTCTTAACTTGTCCATGATGTCTGTACAGGATTTTTGATGAATAGGTTTCTAATAATTGCTGGAAAAGTGAAAGCAGTTTGTATCCGATCGATCATAGACGTTCGATGAATCCACCTCGCATTTCTCGCTCAATTTCTCTCCTCTTACTTCGCATCCAGCGATTCCTGAAGGAGAGGATAATTCCAGTTGACAGCAGAAACATTAATCGTATGAAGATATTGGAGTACACTGAGTACACCGAGGTGTGTTCTAAAGTTCTGTAGATACAGTGACCCGAAGCATATAGTGGAGTAACTTAGCAGAGACATTATTATCTTCGGAAATGAGGCACTTCGCGAGACGGACGAAACAGCTGATTTATTACAGAAAAATAATTGTTATCGAACGTAGCAAGTTTATTAGAATTTCGTGACATTCTTCATTTACCTGGGACCGTATGGAAATAGAAATTCATCTTCACTATCAACACGTTCGCTACTAGCGTCCATTTCGGCGAGGACCTCAATTGTAATATTTTATTCAATTCGATAAAGCTTCTAAACAAAATATGGAAGAAATGAAACTGAAACGAGTTATTGAGTTTCTAAATATAATGCCGTAGCTTGTAACTTTGGACAAGAATATCTATAAGATCAACTTCATTTGGTTAATATTATTACTTATTTATTTTATATATTTTACGCTGATAACAAACTCGTTTAGGATGAGTTCCCAAATATAATGCCGTAGCTTGTAACTTTAAATAATAATATCTATAAGATCAATTTCATTTGCATTATTTTAATATATATAATTTCTTTAATAATCCATCAGTTTTCTATAGTTTCGGGAATGATTACTGGTGGAAATTTAAATTTTTTGAAAATTTGAAGCTTGAGAATTTGATTTTGGAAGTGTCAATGTCTAAAGAGGTGTTTTAATTTTAATACTGAATTTGTATGTTCGGGTCGAAGAATTAAAGTTGCAATCAGAAATTTTGTTAAAATTCTGAAAGACCTTATTCATTTCACACTGCAATCTCAGTTTATTTTGTGAATATCTAATTTATAAACTACCACAAAAGTTTTAAACAACGAATATTTTTGGAAGTGATCGACGTGTTAAAATATTTTCATCAAACTTCTCGAGCATTCGACAATTTTCTGTGTAACCTTCTGAAACACTAGATGAAAGTAAATAAGTAAATAAGTTCATCTTCGTTAGATTACAATTTTCAAGAAGAAATCTGTAAGAATGTGTACTTTCCTTGAAGTTCACAGACTGACGAATAATTCGGGGTAGACTCTGTTAAACACGTACGATACGAGGAACGTTGTTTGAATATACCAAACTGTGCACCAGTTTTGTAGCTGCGCCGCACAGACGAGAGAATTGTTGTTTTGTCATCCCCTGGGAACCAATCGCGGCCTTTTGTATTTCGTGTTTATCAGTCTTTCTTCTACGGCCCCGTTGTCAATGGTTTTTAATCTGATATTGATAGCACTCTGCATTCTCCGGATCGTTTCACTATTGTTTCACATTGTTCATATTCGCGATTATATAATTGTACGAGTCTGTATATACATTTCGAACGGTGCATTTAACAATGGATTTACTGGATGAGTCAAAATTACTTGTTCACTGAATTATTCTTTGACAATTGAATAAAAGACGGACGCTTCTCTGAGAAATTGCTGAGGAAATTGATTTAATAATATGAGAACTAAGCTGCTGTAGGACCTGGATTAACTTGGTTATTCACTCGGTTGTTTACTTATTCATTTAATTATTCACTTGATTATTCATTCGTATATTCACTTGGTTATTCACTTACTTATCTGATTATTCATTTGATTATTCGCATATTCATTCGTATATTCACTTGGTTATTCACTTACTTATCTGATTATTCATTTGATTATTCGCGTATTCATTCGTATATTCACTTGGTTATTCACTTACTTATCTGATTATTCATTTGATTATGCACGTATTCATTTGATTATTCACTCGATTATTCACTTACTCATCTGATTACTCACTTGGTTATTTATTTACTCATTTAATCATTCACTCGGTTATTCACTTATTCATTTAATTCTCCACAAACTCAACCATTCGAATTCTCAGATCCTACCTAAAGATTGATAGTTCGAATAACTCCCAATCACAAAGGAGAATGCTTTGAAAAACTTCCCCTAGAGTCTCCATTTATCTGGATTGTCAGTGGCCCAATTAAATCGAACAATTCTATTGTACAAGTGAATCGAAATCTTAGTCCTTAACTCTCCAAATAGTTTTCCCATCTATCAGCAACTCCAATCAATTTTTATAGTACCCCTAGCGAAAGTTAGCAATCTTATAACATGTCTTAGACCTTTTACTTCCCTTCTCAGTACAGAATTTGGATATATGGAAAATCTAATAACCTCAGGATAACTTTTTTAAGATTCATTACAATATTTAATATTATAACTGGTGCCATGTTGGAGCCTACAGAATTCAAAGGGTTGAGAGATCCACTGTTAACATTTCTAGAGAAAAATTTGAAAAACTTAGCTTGACAGCTCGGTGGTTATGTTCATTCTATGATTAGTATATAATTATTATAAATATAATTTAGCCTAATTTACTCTCAAAATATTTAACATTATATCTAGTGCAATATTGGACCCTACAAAGTTTAAAGGGTTAAGAGATCCTTTGTTAACATTTCTAGAGAAAAATTTGAAAGACAGACTAAATTATATTTATAATAATTATAATTGAATTATAACTAATCATAGAATAAGCATAACTACCGTGCTGTCAAGCTAAGTTTGACGATTTCATGACAAGAATGATTAAAACTTCAAAACCTGTTACGTCTTTACGGTTACTTCAGCTTCAATATGCACAGTTACATCCAACCTGTAAGATATACCTTTCAACCCACGACAAAGCACTTCAAAGAATCTCCCTTCAGTCTACTTTTCGAAAATGTTCGAAATAAACTCGAGTAATGTGAACCACTGCTAAAGAATTATATACCACGCACAATTTCAAATCGAGATAGAAGGATCGTGTTCGAAATTAATAAAACCTCGTAATGAAAGGAAAGCTAGCCCTTTTTCGAGAAGAGAATGAATGGTCTTGTTGCCAGAAAATTCATTTTCTCTTCGCGGTGGTGGAGTTTTTTGTGAAAAAAAGATGGAAACTGTGTCAGGACGAAATAATGAAACTACCCGCAGGCCAACAAAAAGCTGTCGAATATAATTCGTGATGTGTAATTCATTAAAGCTTCATTTAGCGCCTTAAGGGTATCATGAAAGGAGAACACGTTAAAGCTAACATTGTTGGGTTAGTGGCAAAGTACGCGAGAGAAACTGATCCGTTTCACGATAATGTTATCACTAGCGGTAGTCTGAATAGATGCCAAAAAACTTTTCTTATCAATTGGATTTCTCTGATCTATTTAACGATAAATAAACCAGAGCTTCAATGTGTTCGGGATACATTAGAAGGACTTCTAATTAAACCAATTAATTAAAGGGTTGAAGGAAGAGAGAAAACATGTCAAATATAGCTATAATTTACATAAATTTTCTATTTTCCTGACATAAAATTCCTTAACAAGATTATATATATATCTCAAAAGCCTTTATGAACTTATAAAATGATAACTGATAACGTAACGTAAGTGAAATAGCAATTCATTAAGAATTCTTTCTAACTTCCAGTTACTTAAGAAACACTTTTCAACTTTTCTAATGACGATTACAAAATTAACTATAGGAAATGTTCAATACTGAATTGAGGAAAACTGGTTGAACTGAGGAAACAATTTTAAGTTCAACTTTCAAATGGTAGCTTTTGAGACCATCGGTAGAAATAGGTGACTATTTCTTATAATAATTGCTAAAAAAAAAAGTGGAAGCAATTTGTATTCGATCGATCATAGAAGTTCGATGGATGAAAATTCTCGCTCAATTTCTCTCCTCTTATTCGTACCCAGTGGTTTCCGAATAAGTCACACTAATTGCTTGGTAGTTTTAGTGTTAATGGCAGCCATAGATTAGCCAAGGGAACAGTGGCATCCAATTGCAGTGAGAACTAGTCAACGACTAATTCGTCGTTAGGTGACAGTGGAGCGGTAATTAGCAAACTTCATTTAATTAACGCATACTTTCTTAATATATTGTGTACCTGCTAATTCATAGAAAACTTAATACATCCAACAATTTTCAGTGGGATCAACTTATATCACTATGTACAGAAAAACTCAAATATGATATTGCTATGTATTATATTTTAAATTGATAATCAACACGATTCAAATTTAATATTTCTTTTAAGTGTTGCGGTAATTAGCAAAGTTACACAGTTAAGTGTCTTTACATAGAATCAATGTTATTAACTATTAATAGTATAGACGCTTCTTTGTATTTTACAAATTTTCTGACGCCTTAATTGCATGAAAATTTGCAACCTGTGAATTCATTATAAAATTCCTTTGAAGTTTTAATACAAATTAACACGCTGCGTACCAGGTACTTTTCAGAATTGCGTGAATGGCATTTTTCAGTGAGATCAACTTATATCACTATATACAGAAAAACTCAAACATCATATTGATATGTATCATATTTTAACCCTTATCGGACGTCAGGTTCTCACACCTGAGTTGTCGCTACATCGTCGAATGTAGATAAATGATTTCCTATGTGACACGAATGACAAATGTCTACTAAAGTAAAAAGCATAATGTCACGTGGGAGGTGACATAAGTCCGATAAGGATGAAATAGATAACCAGCTGAAAACAAATTTAATATTTCTTTTAACACTGAAACTACCGAGCAATTAAATGGACTATGTGACATTCTTCTATAAGAACTCCAAGGGCGCATCTATAGAGGCTTTAATTGATTTACAATTCAGTTTGCGTATTGCTAAATGAAATTCTTGAATAATTTCTCAGAGAAAAATCTGTTATCTTCTTAACACGTTGAATGCCGCACAATTTCATAGAGCAAAATACACAAAATGAAAAAATATAATATTAAATCATTTGATTTAATATTAATCTAATATAAATCTAATATAAATCATTTGATTGATGAAATAATCGTCGTTTAATTGAGTGAACTATAGTAATACACAATCTCTTTCATTTTTGCATACCAGCTAATTTCCAGAAAACTGAATCCTGTGGCTGGTAATTTTCATGTATCATACTTTAAATAGATAATCATCTCAAAACAAATTTAATATTTCTCGTAAATCCCGCAATAATTATCAAAGTTCCACAACTAAGTATCTCCCTATAAAAACCAGATTTCTCATTGCCAGTATACAATATGTTAAAATTCACTAGCTTCGTTATATACAAATATCCACGACACCAGTTTATTGCAGACTGAACGCTGAAGATCCATTTCTTGAATCTATTTGTAATATTTGTGGTTTGTGCTACATCACGACGCTATCTCTAACCAACGTTTCAACTCCTGACCAAGGGTCATGCACTTTTCGCCCTGCGCGTACCGGATCGTCCTCGCGTCTGATCAAAGGCCGAGCAAATCTACTTACAGTATTGTCTCTCGCCCGTGGATTCGGGACACGCAAAACGGGATAGCCACGGCGAATTCCCAAATCTAATTTCGCAAATTTCACGGAGAGTATAATAACATGTGATCGTAATCCGGGGAACTTAAGACAGTGATAACAATGAAGGAACGTTCCGGTACTCCACCTCGCGAAACGCTAACGCGAAAACCGCCGGGGAACCGGAGCAACTGATTCAAACGCGGTTAACGAATGATAACAGTTGTTGAGATTCCGTGTTATTTCGATTGCCACTTCTATGTAAGTTTTAATTACTTCGTCAAGATTCTGGTACTTGGCAACTTCATTGGAAAAGCTGAATACAGTGGGATATGGTTTTTAACAATAAAAGTAGCAGAACAAGTGACCCATTCCTGAGTTGTTATTTTTGGGATTATTAGAGAGATAACGGATGGTTTTTCTGAGAAATTAGGGAAATTGATTTAGTAGTATGGAAACTGAATCGTAAATGAATTGAAGTCTCGTTAGATGCAATATTAGAATTTCTATAGAGAAATTTCTAGCTAGAAGCTACTGTTATTTCAAAATTATAACAAAACATTAGTTTCAATAGATGTTATCTTGAAATTTTTATAGAGAAATTTCAAAAAGTCAAGTCAACTGATCGGTAATTTTAGCGTTAAAAAAATAACTTTCGTTGTGAAGTCGTTGCACTGTCATTTTAAAATTGTAACAAAATATTTAAGTTTCAATAGATGTGGTCTTGAAGTTTCTATAGAGAAATTTCAAAAATTGAATTCAACCGATCAGTTTTCAGTGTTAATAAGTACTGTACACAGCAATGCGGTAGATATTTTGTATACCTGTTCATATATACCCATTCCTGATTTCTTCTTTTTTCAATTATAAAATAAATAGCAGACGTTTCTCTGAAAAATTGCAGAAATTGATTTAGAAATACACAAACTGAATCATGAATCAATTAAAGTCTCAAAAGATGCACTCTCTAGACAAATTTCAAAAATTCAATTGAACTGCTCGATAATTTTAGTGTCAATAAGTACTGTAAACAACAATACAGTGAATATTTTGTATATTTCTTATACTACACGTAAAGTCAGCACTCTTGCACTAGCAAAATTTCCATAAATCTGTAAAAATGCGTACTAATTACTAGAATAAAAGAAAATCTGACGAGATTTCACTTATAGTGTATCATTTCGATAGATTTTTGATCTAGTATTACATAGTTCAAGTTTGTATTATGTATATCCCATTCGATATAAAAGGAGAAAGTTCGGCAGAGAGCCATGGATCGCAGACAAACCGTTCCTGAGGGAAGTGTTAATAAAGTTTGACAAGGATTCGGCTGTGTGAGGTTATACGTGTAAACAAAGAGCCGCTACGGTCCTGGCATTCCTTAAGATACAGCAGAGCGACCGAGATAAGGTATAATGGTGTACGTGTCCCTGGACAGACGGCCTTCAACCCTTTCATGCCTGACAGGACAATCCACCCCAAGTTGACCTTTGCAAAAACTGCTGGGTTATTCGATCCCAAATGCAACTATCCTCTCAGTCTTTTTTTCTCCGTCGAGATTAACCCTTTGCACTCCAAAGGTGCCTCTCAGTCAATCGATTGGTGCATCAAAATTGTAAAATTTTAAGTCTTAAGTAATCTGTCGATACATGAAATGTGGAAATAAAATACCATTGTTCCCCTTATTTCGTGGATAGATTCCTCATTAACCCTTTGGCCTATGATATATTTCTCAACTCTGGTCGATACGGCTGCTTTGTCATTAATAATTTATTGGAAAAAGAGAAAAATTCTAAGGATATGTTATGCCTATATTTCCTTTCAAGTATAATAGTTGATTAAAGAGGAATAATATTTACTTTGAATTCGAATGAACTGAGTAATACATATATTTGTTGAATCATGTTGAAAATCTTCACCGCGAGTCTAACTCGTTGTTGTAGGACAAAGGGTTAAGTTAGTTTTAAAAAATGTCATCTATATCTCATAAAAATAAATTGAATATTTCTAGTGACAAATTTTTGGAATGCAAAGGGTTAACACTTTACGGGACGCGGGATCTCGTGAAAAAACTTTATTGTTCGCCGGCGTTTTTCCTAGGATTAAATAATCTCGTAATGCAAGTAAACTTTGTGACTTTGCTAACTACATCATTTAAAAGAATATTAAATTCTATCAGAACTGATTACTCGTTTAATACTTATGAAATAATAATAGGATATTTGAATATTTGTATTTTAAGTTAATTCAAGTCTCAACAGATCCACCCTTGGAATTTCCATACAGGAATTTCAAAAACTCAGTTCAACTGCTCGGTGGTTTTAATGTTAAGCTGTGTTGTCACCCATGAATCGATTTTCGAAAGCTAATGGATTTCTAAACTTTATTTTGGAAATACTGTTATCTACTCTGTTGAATTTTTGTTCATATATCTTTTGGATAATTAATTAAGCAAACGTGAGAATTACAGAATGTAAGTGCTGATTACCTTGAAGTTTTCAAAACGTATTATTTGATGATATTTTCTGAAACAGAGAATGATCTTGAATGTACAGACGTTAAATGTAGTGGCAGCCTTTTCACTTACCATTTAGATGTTTACACTCCAATTGCACTGCTGCCCCTGTCCACAGGACACTGCCATCTTCATTCACGTCGAGTAAAAGGCTAGTCTTCTCCTGCTCGCACCCACTCATTTCGTGTCCAGCTCCATTATTTTCACACTTTCGCACCCCACTGAGCAGCTCTTTTTGAACATTCTCACCTTTCATCACGTGGAACACTGTAAAACGAAGGAATGCGGAATATAAACGACTAATCGTATAAAGAATTTTACAATGAATGTTTTTTTACAAATTCTAACCACTTCAGTGATATAATTTAATAATAAGATACTTCAATTCTAAGATATTCTAAATATTCATGTTCTCGTTTGTTTATACAGGCAAAATATTATTTTAATATTCAGTTACGCATGAAATATTAACATTGGAGTATGTATTTTTAATTTAAATACAATGTTATATTCAATGAACAACGGGATGTGAGGTTTTTCTATAAAATATTTCACGAAATCGAATTTTGTATTTTACAACGTTAAAATTTCATAAAATTCAGAACGCACCGTTCTAAAGTATTCAGGGATGTATTAATTAAACGCGCGATGAACGAAAGAACCGGAATACAATAAAATTCTCACATTTACGTATCTCGTTCGACTTCAACGTTGGTTTTTAATTCATTAAAAAGTATTGGAGTTTCCGACAACAGGCAGAATCTAATAATAAAAGCTTCGTCAAAGTTAATCATGAAATTGTATACCGTTCCGCGCGCGATTCACATTAAAACGAAAAGCATAATGAATTTTGCGTCGGCATTGCACATACGTGATGGATCAAAGAGAATAATTTACCGAAATTGTTGCACGATGCGCGACGGTCGGGAACGGAAATGTTCCTAATGTCCCTCGTTAACCCTTTGCCCTACAATACCGTGTCAAACTCGTGACGAACGTTTCAAATCAAATTTAACAAATACAATTGTCGCTTAAATCCTTTCGAGTACGAATTAACATTGACAGCTTCATTGGTAAAATACTCATACAACTACTCATGCAATCAAAGCAGTTTTCTTAACGAAACAGGAATTGAAAAGACGAGATTTTTTGAAGACATTGTTCCTTAAACGTTCTTGCATCTTACAGATTTAACGTTTGGTTCGTTTCATATGTCACTGGGAAAATTAACTGTTAATTAGAAACAGTTGTTAAACGCAGTTGTGAAAATCACGGTGCTAGGAGTCGAAACCAGTGCTGGGCGAAAGTTGTTTTAGTATGACGAATAACTTGAATAACGAGTAAATTGGATAATGCGTAAGTTGAGTAACGAATAACTTGAATAACGAGTTACTTGAGTACTGAATAACTTGAATCACGAGTAACTTGAGTAATGGATAACTTAACGAGTAACTTGAGTAATGAGTAAATTGAATAACGAGTAGCTTGAGTAACGAATAACTTGAATAATGAATAACATTAACGACTAATTTGAATAACGAGCAACTAGAATAATGAGTGACGTGAGTAAAGAATAACTCGAATAACGATTAACATAAATAACGACTAATTTGAATAAGGAGTAACTTGAATAACGAGTGATTTGAGTAACGAATAACATAAATAACGACTAATTTGAATAACAAGCAACTGGAATAACGAGTGGCTTGAGTAACGAATAACTTGAATAATAAATAACATTAACGACTAATTTGAATAACGAGTAACTAGAATAATGAGTGACGTGAGTAAAGAATAACTCGAATAACGATTAACATAAATAACGACTAATTTGAATAAGGAGTAACTTGAATAACGAGTGATTTGAGTAATGAATAACATAAATAACGACTAATTTGAATAACAAGCAACTGGAATAACGAGTGGCTTGAGTAACGAATAACTTGAATAATGAATAACATTAACGACTAATTTGAATAACGAGCAACTAGAATAATGAGTGACGTGAGTAAAGAATAACTCGAATAACGATTAACATAAATAACGACTAATTTGAATAACGAGCAACTCGAATAATAAGTAACTTCAACAATGAGTAATTTCAGTAACGACTGACTCGAGCAACGAATAACTAGAATACCTCGAATAACAAACAACTATTCAGTAATCAATACCCAAAACAAGTTCTATTCGAACAGCCTCCAACATTGGTTAAAACTCACACAGAATTTTTCCATCCGACCCTCTCTATTGAACCGAGGCCAGACTTCCCTACCATTTTCTCGAACCATCGACCGCATAACGCCGTAATGAATCGGTGCACCGAATGATTAATCGGGACTAATCGCATTTCCGGCGCATTTCCATCCCGACGAGTGACTCGCCGTTGGTTGAAACGATACGATCGAAATTTCAGTGTATCGGCCGAGTCGTTTGTATGACCGAGGGTCGGAGCTGGATTACGAGACGGGGACAGATAAAGGGAAACGGACAGAGAGAGAGAAACAAACACACAGGATTATCGTAATATTGATGATCCGTGGCTCGGATCCATGCGGTTGATTGTAAATTCTCCTCGCGGGTCGTACGGACTGCCTTGATCCCGAAGGAACGAAAATCCGGCACGTTATTCGACGATAAATTACTTTCCCGGAGATATCGAAAATCTTTCCCTCGTTTCTCGCAGGGGGATTTACTTTTCGAAAAAATTATTTCATTAGCAGATGTTCTTCGGTGATTTACCGCTTCAGGATTAACGCAGCATTAATTTTAACGTCGAAATCCGAGGCATTTCCATCGATATTCGAATGATATTGCTGTTTACATGGAAACTGATAGAGTATGTTTATATTTATTTAACCCCCTGGATACTGTTGGCGCCTATAGGCGTTCGTAATATATTGTTAACAATAATTGCAGCAAAGCTCGCTTAGATCTGACGTAAGTGAATTTTAATTCAACAATTACATCATCCATTAGTCATGCATTATATAAATGTGACTATTTTCGATTGGTTTAATTTAGTTCAATTCAGAGTTTTCATAGTTTTAATACACTTTCTTCGAAATATACGTTGACGCAAAATTCTGTCGTAGCCAAAGGGTTAAACATTTTCGCTGCGATACATATCAAGCACACATTTGGAACCCGAACCGCATCGCAACTCGAAAGAATGGATAAGCACATCGCGGTATTTGCTTAACAAATGTATTCAACGATGCAACTTTTATCTCTTTAATCTCCTCCGTTCTTTAACCATCGCTCGCCTGTTCGCTTATTTGCGGAATAAAGTGTATTCCCTTCTCTGCCTCGCTCCGAACGCGAGGCTCCCTTGACATCTGAAAGTGTTCTCGAAAACGTTCTATGAAAAAATACAGGAGATACTCCGTTTCACCTCGTTCCACTCCGTTTCAATGTAACTCGTAGTCGATATCGTAAAATCAAATGGTACATTCCACAGATGCTCTCTATAACATTCTCCGTAAATTGTGAATCTCGATTCGCTGCACATAGACTAGTACGTGGACTGATAAATACACAATTACTGACACTAAAACTGTCGGACAGGTTAGAATGATGTGATTTCTTCTTTTACAAGCATCGAGAAGAGTGTTTCTCAGAGAAGTTACTATGTAACTTAATTTGCTAATGTACGAATTAAAATATATGTAGTATCGTAGTTTTAAGACAGTGGGACAGCAAGGATGATGAGTGTGTGGTGGTGAGAGTATGGCGTGTTTGAGAATTTGTTGGAAGTTTCAGTGAGAAGAATGCTTGTGGGGGAGAGAATGATTTTTAAGTGCGGATGGCGAGAAATTTTGGAGAGAGTCGCGTTGACCTGAGAAGAAAAAAGACCTGTACACTGCGAGCCATATCATTTCTATTTATTTGTATTTTATTCAATTAAGTATTCCTATGTTTTTTTAAATAAAACATATTTAATTTCCATTAATAGCACATATAAGGAAATACAAATTTTAGTAAATACACGTTACTAATATCTGCAGAAGAATGAAAGGAAATCGATTGTTAAATCTAGTATTGAAACTCATAATCGAGACAGGTTTCTTAATAAAGCAGGAAGTAAAAAGTCAAGATTCTTCATAACATTGTTCTATTATTCTCCGTGTTTCGTATACTCGAAATTCGGTTCGTTCGATACGACGCGAAGGAAATGAATATTTAAGGTTGTGTACAAAATGGCGTCCTTCGAATTCGGGTAACGTGGCAATCAGCGTTAGTAAAATAAGCTCGTGTACCAGCATCGAATCCCACAGTAAATACCATGAATTCAAACGGTGAGACCCGAACATGCAATTCTTAATATTGCATAAATTATTCTTAATACTAAATGTACCGGTGTTTTATATACATCTGTTCCTATTGTAATCGATCCAGGAACAATACTATAAAATAGTAAAGGTTAACAAATTGAACGAACAATTTTTCTTAGTGAATATAGAAATAAAAGGAAAGACGAAGACTAATAAACTAGTCGATTTGACAATATAAAAACTAATATAAAGTTAAATGAACAAAAGAAAACAGAATTCTTAATCAAATTTGAAATTTGAAAAGTCGTTTGACCGATTGTAGGTTCAATGATACCACTAGAACTACCAGATGGGTAAAAATGACCCATTCTCGATGTCTTCGTTTAGAATTATTGAAGAGGCACAGATACTTGTTTGAGAAATTATTGCAGAAACTGATTTAATAATGCCTAAATTAATATATAAGTCAATTAATAACTACGCACTGGTGGCTCTCACGAAGAAATTTTCAAAAATCAGTTCGAGTACTCAATCCTCAATTGAACTCATTCACTTAATTCGGTTAGAAGCTGTGTTTTATAAAAGCAAGAGCCATACTTGATGAATTGCAAATAATCCCACTTCAAGATTTACTAAACAACAAAAGAAAAGACAAACAGAATAAAAGGCTATTGCTAAGGCGTTGCTAAGTGAAAAATGGGAGATCTCCGGATTCGGTTGGCTAAGTGTTAAATCTCGCAGGTGTTTCTTCGTTTCGAATTTTCAAGTGGCAGACGAAAACAGAAGCGTCGCGAGTGCAGCGAATTAGCTCGTATCCTCGAAGCGTGAAGTTCTCGACGCCTCGCGCATCACGGGCAACTGGCAAAACAAGCCGAAACTGAACTCGGATCCGACGAATGCGAGAGATGGCCAGGAACAACGCCTCCGTTCACAATTTCCGTTGATCGTAAAAGCACGGATCTATATATCCCCAGCCGCTTAATTGCTCTCAAA